GGGGTCGACCTATGAGGTAATCAAGACACAAGCTTCCCAGCTGGGGTCACAGGGCAGCATGAGGCCTGCCAATCACAGCCACAGCCAATGCAAAAAGCTTTCCTGTCCCATCCGCCTCCAAAGACAAAGCAGAACAAAGGGGAAAGACTGGATGATAGCAGTAATCATTGCTGCAGTGGCGTTTCATGGCACCACGCGCACCACCACATTCCACCACGCACACAATACATACCACCATACACAAGATACATACCACCATATACCCCACACATCATACACACCACCTTACACTACAAAAACATCACACACCACCACGCACAACCATGCACACGATACACCAGACACACCATCATATACATGATACACATCACTCTACACACCACACAGGATGCACACCTCCATACACCAGACACCCTACACACACCCCCATATTTGGAAAATCGTTACCTATAACTTAAAAGTACATATACAGTACAATCATATTTGTCTACCAGCATCAATAAGTCAAAGTAAAGGAGTTACTTCCTGCTTAAATGAGCATTGAGGTGGTGCTCATATCCTGATTACAGCGAGTTTCACACGTAGGAAGAGCACACAAATCTTGTCATCACATCTATTCCTCTATTTAAGGAACGAAACAGGAGGATTTCTGTCGCCTGATGGAGCTAGTTTTAATTACTGGTGAAACATCGTACTCAGATTGTAAATGTTGTGGCTTTGTTCTCCAAAATACCGGTCTGCTGTACTAGTAACGAATTGACATGTTCTGTTTACATGACAAACCTTACTAATTGGCTGTGTATGGTGGGGGCAGGTTTAACGACACATTTATATATTTACGCAATCTATCCCCAAAAAACCTCTATTATGGCTGATTACAGCGCTTGGCCAGTGGTGCAAATTCCACATTCCCACGTTGAGGCTATCCATAGGACAACCATTTGACTTACCCAAAAAGTTATAATCATTGTATCGACCCCATCGTAAGGAAGATGGGCTGAGTCAACCCCGCAAATACGTACAGTGCGAAAGAAGTTCAATATACATACAAATACGATTTGAAGTGAGAACCTGCTTATTGTGTCGCTCACTCTACCGCTTAGCCGGCATAATAATATATAACATGATGACACAGTCATACATGACATCGTAATACAAGACGTAGTAATACATAACATGACATAGTAATATATGACATAGTATTACATGATATTGTAATACGTGACATCGTAGGCATCAGCCTGCCACTGAATTCCGCATCAATAAATTTCGCTTTGATTGTTTCCCCACGTACTGTTGCCCTATTTAAGTGTTTTTCTGTTTTGATCATGGCAACTGTGTTGCCTTCTCTTGGCTCTCTGTATCTCTGTACGTCACGTTAGAAAAATACCATTAAAAACATCAGCCTGACGCAACGTTACAGCATAATCAACCACGACATCACGATATATACCACCAGACAATACGGTCCCATACAAAGACGCCCCATATAGCCTTAACAGGCTGTAGGAGCAAGTGCTGTTAGCGAGCACCTATGAAGGCCGGCACGGTACACGAGGGGGTGAGTGGCCAGCACCATGCCCGGCCGCCTTTGTCTCCCTCGTGATGTTTACACACCGCACCAGGTACTCATACACCACATACGAGACGCACAAATCACACCCCACATACACCCCCAATAAACACATGACCATACCAACGAAACACAAACATTACCACCACATGATTAACATCACCACACAGGACACACATGATACAACACACACATATTCTCAGCCCTGGTGTACATGTGCTATGCTGGCTGTGCCCAAGGCTGCAATTTCCTGTGCGCGTGTAACGGGGCGGCTTTCCGCTCGACCGGACAAAGACTCGCGATTTGCAATCGCGCAGAGAAGCTCGCAGAGCCGCGGAGGGGATGGGCAGAGCCCCCCCCCCGCCCACCTCGCGGAGCGCGCGCCGCACACCGAGCAACACAAGCCGCTCGCTCGATAGCAAAACACACAACATGGCTTTCCCATTAGAGGCACGATCCATTATTGATGGGCAGGCACGTGTTCGTCCAGCAAGGGCTCGCGGTGCCGCGGAAACTCCTCGGGTGGGTATGAAGAAGTCAGCAAAGAGAGAAGACAGAAGCAGGAGAAGATTGGGGAGAGGGAGACTTGGTGTTGCCAAGAGTGAAGGAAGCAAAGTGCCACCGAAACGGTGATGCTCCATCACTCTTCTACACAACAAGCCCTGCAATGCAGTTTATTTTGGCCTGATTTCTATTAAGTTATTTTTGTTCCAATTTCTATTTGGTTTTCTCTGCCTTGACTTTAATTTGGTCGTCATTAGCCTACATATGTTCTCTGAATCATTTATTCTCTCTTTCTGTCTCTCAAGATAATATTCACACACATTGTTTTCACATTTAAATGTTTTTGTTCTATATTTTATTAGGGTTATTTTTAAAGCTAGTTGCTGAGCACAGGCCCAAAGGCCCAAAACGTCAAGGGGCCAGCAACAAATAGCATCATCAAAGTTGTAATAGAAAAAAGTGACGAAGTGACTTCAATTAAGTAGGCGTATTATAAGAAGTTTGGAAAAGGACGATGGGACGTTCTTCCAAAGTGGATCAAGCAGAAAGATCAGTGTTGTGACCTGTACTGCGAATGAGTGGGTTGGTGAGTGTCTGTGTGATTGTGACCTGCAGTGTGGTAGACCGAGTCGTCAACATGGGTGGATGAATCAGTGAGTGATGTTCACAGGACCAGTAACCATGGAGTGGAGTGATAGAAGAGTTATAAGGAGGGGACTGCACGCGAGTGAGTAACTGCAGTGAATGCTGGATCAATAAACCAGGCTGCTTTACATTGAATTATATCAAATGCAGTGAGGTAGGAACTAGGTGCTCCATCCAAGACATTGGCTCCCGCTTCTGGCCTGGCAGGGAGCTACACTGCCAAGCAGGCACCACGCATCGCCACTCATCTCAAGTTCAAAAATAAATCAATACTGGAATCAACAACGGTTGACTGAGAGATTTTTTTCCTAGGTTGAGAAATAGATGTGAAAACTGGTTCAGCATTTGCTTGTGTTGAACCAATGCAGCTTAACTAGGCACTCCCAGAAGACCGTGTGACTGATGGGATGTGGAAAAAATACTTGCCTTTTTTATGTTGAGGAAAAGATATTGAAAGCAGGAAATTGTTTGCTTATATATTGTTATTCTCCATAACAACACGAATGTTTAAACGTAAGGAAGTGTATAGTGTGTTGCGAACACTGTCCTACAGGCCTCTTGTGTGTAATGTGTATGTCAATGTGTATGTTGTGTACATCAATCTGTGTGTTGTGTATTTCAATGGCAGATGCCCAGAGCCTTGAAGCCTGACACCCAGAGCTGCTGAAGTGTGAGTTTGGGTGCCAAGTTGACCCACATTGTTGTTGCACTGGGCACGGAGGGAGAGAGAGAAGACACTCGCAATGCCCTGTAAGTGGGACCGCTGCGCTGAGCTCAGATTGCCATGGAAGGGCTTGCACCATTTATAGCCCAAACCTCATAGACCAAAAATGACATTTGCTGCGCCCTGCAGTTACAACACAAAACACGCAAGCAGATCAAAACACCACACGCAAACACAACTCAAGAAACACCAACACAACACACTAAAATACGATTACACAACACAAGGAAACACATCACACCAAAATAACACACGTAAACACTAATACACGACACACGTAACCACAAGACACCAAAACAACACAGGCAAACACAGGATGACAAAGCAATACACGTAAACAAGAAAACACCAATACACAACACGTATACACAGCATACCAAAACAACACGTAAACACAGCACACCAAAACAACACGTAAACACAGCACACCAAAACGACACACGTAAACACAGCACACCAAAACGACACACGAAAACACAGCAGACTAAAACAACACACGTAAACACAGCACACCAAAACGACACACGTAAAAACAGCACACCAAACGACACTAGGAAGTAAAACACACTCGGTCACCACACGGTCACCACACTATCCCCACCCCTACCACAACACCACTAAACACACCCGGCCACCACACTACCCCCATCCCTACCCCGGCCACCACACCACTAAACACACCGCTCGCCAGCACACCACCCTTTTCCACCACATGCATGTCACCACACCTGTAATGCAGACCGCCCCTCTCACCACACCATTCAAGTCACCACCCCTTTCTGCACATCTGTCATCACACCACTCTCTTCATATGAAAGACAAAGATCCCTCCATAGCCTTAACAGGCTGGTGGGGCTGTTAGTGAGCATCTATGAAGGCCGGAATGCTACACACGGGGGTGGGTGGCCAGCCCAACGCATAGCTGTATTTGTATTCCCATTGGCGATGTTTACACATCGCACCAGATACTCATTTGGGACTGAGTCGACCTAGGGGAGGCCCGGGACCAACTCAGATAATCGTGAACGGGAATCGAACTCGTGTCGCTGGGTTCGTAGCGCAGCGCGCTAACCGTGCCCTACCGCTCTTGTGTTTGTTGTGGTTGCACCCGATTCAAGAGCCGAATGGCTCACAGGGCTATACCAAAATAATAAACTGAAACCCCTCTCACTACCCTACCACCACCCGTCTCACCACATCCACTGCTTCCATCACACCACCCCTCATCACACCACCCCTCATCACACCACCCCTCATCACACCACCCCTCATCACACCACCCCTCATCACACCACCCCTCATCACACCACCCCTCATCACACCACCCCTCATCACACCACCCCTCATCACACCACCCCTCATCACACCACCCCTCATCACACCACCCCTCATCACACCACCCCTCATCACACCACCCCTCATCACACCACCCCTCATCACACCACCCCTCATCACACCACCCCTCTCACCAAACCATTCCAATCACCACCCCAGTCACGACAAATGCTGCCGATGCCGAGGAGCGCGCTTGGAGAGGCTGGCGCTGACGCTTACCTTCTGGTGCTGGCGCCTGATCATGGGCGGCATAAAGCGTCTGCTTGAGCGCCTGGAGAGAGAAGAGAACGAGACACGGGTACATAGACACGGGTACATAGACACGGGTCACAAGGGAGACAGGGGGCAGCAGAAGAGCCATGGGTCAGCAGCCTCGACCTCGAGTGACCCTGTACCCCTTATCCCGTACCACTATCCCCTGACCCCTCACCCTGTACCCTTGACCCGGTACCCCTCAAGCCTCACCCTGTACTCCTTCCTAACTCTATACCACTCACAATGTACCCCTCACCCTGTAACCTTAACTCTCCTCACCCTGCACCCCTCAACCCGGAATGCCCGCACCTCATACTGGATGTACTGTTTGCGCCACTCGGGTGTGATGTGCGCGGACAGGTGCTCGGCGAACTTCATGGCTCAGCCCCGCGTCTCTCTCCTGCTCGTCTCTCCGTGTCCCAGTGTCTCCCAAGCCTCAGTGTCTCTCCGTGTCCCAGTGTCTCCCGAGCCTCAGTGTCTCCCTCGGTTCTCTCCTCCCCCTCCTCGCTCCGGAGCTGTTTCACATTTCCCCGCGCGCATCGGCCGGGAAGCCCTGCCGCCTCACGCGTGATTGGTCAGCGTTAATGGAGGCAAAGCCACGTTGATATACAGCCAATGGCTGCGTGTTAAGTGCAAGACGTCCTACCCCTTCGCGGCGATTTCACCAATGAGAGGACGCGTGAGCGTACAAGCCGCGTATCCACTGTAGGGAATATAGAGGCAGCGCCCCACTTTGGACGCGCAGTGACGTCATTACGCCGACCATTTCCACCCGCATCGGTGACGTCATCACGCACGCCAACGATTTCGTGGTTAGCGATTCCGAGTCAAATCGATTCTTGTTCTGGATTGATCATTCCATTGGCCGAACGATAATTGCAATCAATTTGAAAAAATAATAAAACATTAAAATTATCAATGTACTATTCCATTAATGTAGCTTAAGTCTTGTGATTGACATCTTAAATAATGTTGTATTATATATTTTGAATTAACCTACTTCAAATGTTTTATCTATAATTTAATCTTATGTATATTCTCAATTTCTGTCAAATATTTTGTACGATTGGTGATCCAGCGCTCACCGGTGGTCAGTCGCCTCCTCATCACTATTCTATCGTTACCACCACTATTACTGCTCCCGTGAACTTCACTGATTCCTCCACCCATGTTGAGGGGCCTGTCCACCAGACAGTTTGATCTCATACACACCGTGTTGACCAATATGACTGCAGGTCACAACACTTACCCATTCAAGTCACCCATTTAACTCACTAATCCACTCAGCCCTCACGCTGATTCATCATACTTTCTGCTTCTTCCCCCGCACTGCTCCATTTTGGAATTACCTCCCATGGTCTATTTTACAAACTATTTTTGTAACTTTTGATTTAAAGCTTTCGTGCCTGCAGTGATTCATATTCTTGGTTCTTTCGGTAGTCACGTTGAAGGGAAACAATAAAATAATAAAATATATAAAACAATTAAATTCTCACGACGTTTCGACTGCTTGTGTTGCAGTCGAAACGTCGTGAGAATTTAATTGTGTTATATATATTGTTTCCCTTCAACGTGACTTTACCGAAAAAAACAAGAATATTTTTGTAACCTTGCTAAATTCAAGAAACGTCTTCACGCTTATCGATTTAAACTTTGTTCTCGCTGTTTGTTGCTGGCCGTTTGACAGTTTGGGGCTGGGCTCAGCAATTGTTTAAAAGCATAACTCTTTGTTTTTGTTCGGCAATCGCGCCCAAGTTTTGCACGAGTCCGCCAACCCACTCGTTGTACCTGCCCCTCTTGGCCACCACCGTCACTCGCAGCCCAGCTGGTTTGAGAGTTTTACAAAACCTGCGTGACCCAGCCATCCCCGAGTTGCCAGGTCCATCTCAATTCCAAGGTTTAACTCAAGGAGCCACTGGGCTCAGTCAAAGCCAAGCGGAGGGTGCGGCACTGTGCAGAAGTAGAAACGTGAAAAAGACGGATTGCTCACACTCATCTCTCATGTTTTATTTACAAAGACAACTTAACTTCACTCACACGTGCAAGGATTTAAACCCTAACCCAGCACGACAAGATGAATAATAACAATCTGAACTTATAACGCACCGCTGCTGCACAGTATCCACTCACTCTCCAAGACAGAGAATGACTCAAGAGGTGCGAGTAGGAACTAAAGACAAGCCGGAAGGCAACCACACATTGGAGAACAGGGGGAGAACATACAAACTCCACGCAGAGGTGCCCTATACAGAAATCAAACCCAGGCCCTTCTTGCTGCGAGGTGCGAGTGTCACCACTGCCACCCTGTTGTGGTCGGTGTTGAATGCATTGTGGTCAGGTGAGCGGCTCGCACAGCCGCTGCGTCTCCCTGGGGCGCGTTTCAGCCCGGATGGTTTGACGTCGCCGCATCGAGCGAGCTCTTCTTCTTGCCCACCTTAAGCTCTTCCTTGGGCCGGGCCGAGCGTGCGTATTGCTGAGCGGAGCCAGTCAAGGGAGGACCAACAAGATTGGGAACGAGACGTCATCGTGGCCGAAGCGGTCGGTGTCACCACGCCTCGCCAACACTCTCTATCCTCCTCTAGATCCCACAGCTGCTACATAATCGACACACAGCAGCCTCTAACTTCTGCTCTAACCTCCCACCCTCTGATCTCACTATGTAACACAATTTTTGTTCCTGGGTACTAAGTGTTATTTTTTTATTGCTTATGCCTAAAATGCATAGAAAATGCACACGTTGTTTCATTGAAAATAGGTAAATTTCTAAAAATCACTATCCTGGTTATAAAAGCAAAGTTTGTGGGGAATCATAGCCATTTTCTGTACTCTTGCGGCATAAGCAATTAGGAAATAACACTTACTACTCAGGAACAATTGTTTTCTCTTACACAGTCAATATATATATTCGGTCTTCTCCTTGGCCACGACACTCCAGTGCCTGACTCCACAATCGGCCCTCACCAATCCACTCAGCGCAACCGTTTTTTCCAATTCTTTGTTTCTTTTGGTCAAGTCACATAGATAGAAAATTATAATAAAAATTAAGTTAATAAAAATAAAAAAATAAAAACAAAAACCCACGACGTTTCGATCGCAACACAAGCAGTCGTCATCAGGAAAAGGGGGGCTAGCCTCTAAAGGCAAACTGTTTATAAAGGTTTAGAGATGGGCGTAGTCCAATTGTGTCAGCAGTATGGGCGGGGCAGCTTATATTAATGTAGGAGAAAACAACTAAGCCAGCAGTGGATCTCCACCAAAGGGCCTCCAGGAAATCATTGCACCTCGCTCCACACACCCACACTGCTGACGGTGGAGGTTGACAAAACACAAATAAAGTCATGATCCAAAGTGGTTGATAACATCCTTCCAATGATTGCTGAGTTTATAACCATCTTCTTGGTTGAAATTGTGTCTGTGTCTGTATATATGGATGGCTTCATGAACGAATCTTTGTTGATAGCCAGTAGGCTTGCAAAGTACCATCGTCTTAGAGAAATCAACTAACTTTCCTAACTATATCTACAACACTTACCTGCCATTTTCTCGTCTCAATCTCCAAATAGATTATCGTATCTTGCATCCTGCATATTTGTCCCACCCAGCACAGCCAATCTCCTAATCATTTACGGACTATCTGGGTCAAACTTGGGGGGGTTGCTACCCCTCCGGGAGGGTTGCTAACCAGTCCAGCTCTACCCTGGGGAGCTGATAACCCTACCGATAGCACAATCAGGATAAAGTTAGGGGGACAAAGAAAATGAAAGATGGCATCATCACGGCGGGCACAGGGGAGGATACAATGACGAGCGGGCGGCCATGCAGCACATAGCCGTGGGCATCCCTCAGGGCCTTCTGTGCTTCCCGCTCGCTTGGCAGGCCCACAAAGGCCTGACCCTTCATACGGCCTTCCCGCATTAACCGCACGTCAAACCTAACAGGGAACACACGTAGACAACACAAGCAAAGCAGTCAACCCACACGGCTCTGTGAGGGCAGTGTGAACGTGAAGCATTTGTGCGTGTGTGGAGACAAAAGGCAGTCAGGCGTGGTTCTGCCTATGCCACTCCCTCGTGCGCCATCATGGTTGTCATAGGTGCTCGCTAACAGCACTTGCATCAGTCTCTGAAGTCTACACATGGATCTTTGTCTTTGTGGAGTCACAGGCAAGTAACGGACACATTCTTTGTTGTTAACACATTTTCTGAGCACTGACCTAAAGGCTCAAAGCATCAATCAAGCAGCATCAAAGAGCAAGATTAAATTATTAATAGATAAGAGTGCAACACTTTTCTAAAATTGAGCAATGTTATTACTAGTTCATAAAACCTGTCTTCGGCAGGCAAAAGTATTTCAAGAAATATAATTATTAACCTGATATGATTTTTAAAAATTCCGTTCTTTTTTTAATTAAAAAGAACAAATTTATTCATGTAAAACTCTATGAGGGGATGCTCCTATATTTTACCGTTTTCTAATTATTCAGACTTGAACATCATAAAGTGTATTTTTTTGTTCAAAACCGCTTGAATCCGAAATATCTCAAAAACAATAAAAGATAGAACCAATGGTTCTCGCTTTTATTGTATTTGCCGTTTAACCCGCTATCAAATGAAAAAAAACGTAATATATTTTGAACGGTTTCTCAATGACACGCACAAACATTTTAATGGGGAACTTAAAATCAAGATTTGGGGATCTTAAAATGAAAAATCTCGGATTTTAATTTATTTTTCCTGTTGTTTGTGTGCTAAAAGCTACCTACATAGCAAATTTAAGCTTTCTACCATGTCGAGAAGTACCCGAGACTTTTTGAGACATACGGATTAAGTTATTTATATATATAGACCATAGATAAGAATCTGGGGGAAAAGAGACGAGGATGGGAAAGAGAATGCCAAGGTGGAGCAGTGCAAGGAAAGAAACAGAAAGAGAAGCGTTGTGACCTGCAGTGTGGTGGGTGAGTGTGTGTTGTTGCAGTGTGGTGGTTGAATATGGGTAGAGAAATCAACGAGTAAAGTTCACAAGAACAGTATCCATGGTTGTAGCAATAAAAGAGGGATGATGAGACGCCTGACCACCTGTGAGCAAGTGACCAGAGTGAATCAGTCACACAAGAGACAATGGTGGTTCATGTGATGCGAATACACTCACATGTTCTTTTCCACATCTGAAGAGAAGTCCACGTATCTTCCAAATATGTGCTTCAGATCCTGCCAACACGAGGCACAGGGAGCACATCACAAAACAGATACCTCAACCTCTCTCATGTGTCGTGCCCTCTCTAACACAACTTTGCAGTCGCAAAACAGTGCAACCGACAATCCTCCCAGACATTTACAGGTTAATTTTGTGGGAATGATGAATGATTCAATAATTGTTTTGTTTTATTTTTAACAACTCGTGTGTACCGGTCTCGTTTGTCTCAGTATTGTTCTGCCTTGTTCGTTGCATGAGCACAAAGCTGTACGAGTAAACAACATGCATATGTAGTAGTTGTGTATGGAGACGGAGTCGTAGTAGGAAGCAACACGTTTTATTTATAT